GGGGAAAAACCCTTGAAAATCGACATGTGAAACCAAGAAACCATAAAAAAACTCCGCAGATGCTAAAAATAACCCCCTCCTCTTCAACCCCCCTCGCCAACCGACCGCGCTACCCCAGCAGAGAAAGGCACGCGTGAGATTTCGCAGCCAGCAGCAGCCAGCAGCAGCCAGCAGCCAGCAGGCGTCCAAGATGTAATCGTCGGCTCGCTTAGGTGGGCCTCCTCACATCCTTTCAGTCTTAGTCGGCGTAAGCGATTGCGGGTCGGAAGCGAAGGCGGATTTTTCGAGTATATTAGAAATTCTTTTATATTATAGCAATTACAATTACTATCAATTAAGAAATATTTAAATGAATAGTTAATCTACGAGTATACCTTCTTCTGAAACATTTAAGATCGTATTATCAATCGGTAAAAAGCTTGCTGCTTAGAAGCAGCAAGCTAAAAAAAAAAAAAAATCTCGAATCTGCTGCAAAACAATAAGGGATCGTCGATAAGATGTAAAGAAAAGATCTTTAGAAGATGCTACGTATCGTGAAAAACTCGATTTACGCAAAGCTGAGCGCGAGCGTGAAAAGATTGTACGAGAACGCTCTGCTACAAGCTTAATCCAAGACGACGATGCAATAATTATTTTAATTTTCGATTCGGAAAAGATTTGAGAGTTGCAACAATTTCTTAAGCGTCAAATTCTGCGACCTCGTAAAAACTCTCTTCACTTGAACCTTTTCTCGATAACGATGATTTAATAAATTACAATCGATAATATTAATGACCTTTCTTGTAAGCAAGATATTCTTCCTTTTTTTTTTAAATATTCATATCGATAGCGATAACCTTCAATTCTAATAATCGTCGGTTTCCTTAAATTTAATTCGAAAGAATTGATCGACTTGCTATAGCAAGTTGGCACTACCAAGGCGGGACACCTAGCAAGGCGGGACAGTAAAACTTGCTCTTCTTTAATAGATAGAAAATCAACCAACTACTATATAATAATTAATTTTATATAAAAAGATGCAACGTATTAAGTTTGATATTAATTAATTAATTGAATTTTAATTACAAGTTGTTATTTCTTTATTGTGTTAAGTTAAAGTAATAAAAATAGTACTTTTGGTGCTTACTTTTCGATTTTAGTAATGCGTATATATCAGAATTGCCGCGTATATACTAGAATAAGCGAGGAACACGAAAATCGGACTTTTATTCAAATCTATCAAAAAAAAAATACGTGCATTACTATCAATTTTGATTTAACAATTAATACCTTTAGTAATATAATATATTAAATCATTTATTTTCGATCTATGTGACGTTTTTTTTTTTAATTAAGGTTGTGGTTATTAAGATATTCGTAATGAATAAGTAAATTTGAATTATTTGGGACAGTTTTTGACCATTTTTTCACTACATTTCAATGTATTAGATTACCACAAATAAATGCATCTTTATAATTTTAATTCACGTTTGTAAAGCAAAATTTTCTAAGCATATAAAGATGTTTTTTTTTTCTTTTTTATATCAATAGTTATTCTTTAATAAGTGGTATACCGTTACTGTCCCGCCTTGCTAGCTGCGCCAGGTCGGGATTTTTTACAAAACAAATTCAAGGTAACCGACGATTAGTGATAGAAATTCAAACGATTCGTTGCGTAAAGTAAAAAACGAATCAGATTTTAATAAAAATAATGATCCATAATTAAATGTTCTATTAAATAATACGATTTTAAATATTTCGAAAGAAAATATACTCGTAAAATTAATTGCTTATATAGATATTTCTTAATCGTAATAATAACTGCTATGATATAAAAGAATTTTTAATACCATATTCGAAAAATCCGCATTCGCTTCCGATCCGCAATCGCTTACGCCGACTAAGAGTGAAAGGATGTAAGGAGGCCCACCTAAGCGAGCCGACGATTATTTGTACGTCTGACTGCCGCGAAGAAAGGGTCGTCTGTCTGGTGGATGGTGTCGAGGGCATCTTTTTAATTTCTAATTTTTTTTTTAAAAAAAAAAATTTTACTTCCTGCTTTCTTCTTCTTTTCTTTCTGCTCTTAGGAGGGACAGAGGGAGGGAGGAGGGAGGATAAGGAAGGACGGATTCGCTTAAGCATCGAAGGATTTTCAGATCTGGAAAAAAAGAAAAAAA